AGACCAAGACTTCCTGTGCTGGTGTTGGGTAGGTTGTCTTGCTGTTAGTGACTCTATGCCAGAGTGGCTTTTCGCCGTATCGTATCGATAAGCCAGGACTCTGGCCGACCAAGCAGCCGCTAACAAGACAGGACCCGAAGTCAAAGTGCTCCAAACCCCCAACAAAAACACCAAATCACCAACACAAACCCAAACTTCCTAAACCCTAAACACGTCGTGGTTGTTGTCTATGAAACAGCCGTCTGTTTTTGTTACATTGAAAAGGATGTCTTGTTTAACAACACCTACATCAGCTGAGTCGATTTCTTCAGTGGGACTCACGGTATAGATCAACCATGCCAGTAGGGTCTGGTATTAATGGTTTGGCCCTGAGATTTAAGATGAAGGTTTTGCGGTTGAGTTTGGCTTGAGAGTGTACGGCTTAGGGTTGTAGGGTGTCGGGATTTGGAGCTTTCCCGAAACCCTAAACCCTAAACCCTGAGGTTAAGGGTCTTTATTTAGGGTTTGAGTATATTGGGTTCATGCTAGAAGGTCCGTGTGGCTGAGAGTCTAGAAGCTCAGAGGGCCAAGTATCGTGAAGGGTGCATAATCATTGGGACTGAAATGGGTAGTTGTCAAAATTATGGTCCCTTTTTGGGTACCCTAAATATTAGGTGCCGTATTATAATAAGGACCCCAAAAGGGACCATAATTTTGACAACCACCCAAATAATTAGAATAGGGTTTGGGGGTATATTCTACTATGAATATAGTAAGGAACCGGGAAAATTAGTATAGGTAATTACGAATGTGTAAGGCCCCTAGATTACGAAGTGAGCTTGAAGTTCAGCAGCGGAGTTCACGCGTGCCAAGCTGTAGGGGCTTCCCGTCCTTTAGGATGCCATGACGACGCAGCAAGAGGGGGCTTCATGGCTCCGTGCCCCAATGTAGGGGCCTGAATAATTAGAATAGGGCTTGGGGCTCCTTTACGAACTATTCCTAATAAGGAACCCCTAAGGAATAATATTTCTATGTTCGGGCCCAGCCCAAATGCCTACACAAATGCCAGGTGTGGCCGACAGTGGGAATTCAAAATGAGGCTCAACGTTGTTCTGGGTAATGACCAACAGCGGAACGCCATATGCCTTGAGGCCGGGCCTGTGTCTACTGTTCTGTTGTTAGGGTTTAGGGTTTAGGGTTTAGGGTTTAGGGTTTAGGGTTTAGGGTTTAGGGTTTAGGGTTTAGGGCTTCTGTTGCACGATGCAGGCTCGTATCGCTTGCAACTTTAAACCGGCAAAACATTTGAAGCCCCAAACGGTGAAGTCTGAACCCGGAAAATGACAGGCATAAGCCCCGGACCACAACTCCAAGTACCCGAAACCCTATAGCCGCCACACTGGCAGTCTGTCCGATGCGTCGCCCTTCAGAACATCCAAAGCTCCAAAGACTAAAACTTGAATGTATAAGCCCTACATTAAGCCAACGTTCCTTATATGGGGCCTCGAAAACGAAGCCTGCTTGGTGCTAAGTAACGTACGCAACTTACGCCTACACAAACTCTAAGCCTAAACCCTAAACCCTAACCCCTAAACCTTAAACTGCCTAAACCCCCTACAGGGCCCTTCCGGGAACGCGTCGAGGCACCCGAAACCCCTATAAAGGGGCTTTAGTAAGTAGGCTAAGGTTTGGGGTAGATTGAGCCATACCTTCATCCTCTAAACCCCTAAACCCTAATTCCTAAACTCGCCCGGATATTGTCACGGCCCTATATGCTTTTACAGCAGACCCGACAGAAACCCGAGATCCCTTTGAAAGGAATCGCCCAATCAACCCTTCCTGCCCTAAACTCTAAACCCTCTAAACCCTCTAAACCCTATAAACCCTCAATAAACCCTAAACCCTACACCCTAAACCCCCTAAACCCCCTAAACCCCCTAAACCCCCTAAACCCCCTAAACCCCCTAAACCCCAGACCCTACACCCTAAACCCCAAACCCTAAGCCCTATAAGCCCTAAGCCCTACAACCTAAGCCATAAACCCTATAAGCCCTAAGCCCTAGACCCTACACCCTAAACCCCAAACCCTACAAGCCCTAAACTCTAGACGTATGGTCCGAAGGCCTTAACCCGAAACCCATGGCGACCTTGGCGGCTTCGTCCATCTCCTTGTTTTTATCCACGAAATCCTCAGGAGCAGCTAATCGGACACCTTTAGGGTTTTTTGGTTCAGGGTTTTAGGGTTTAGGGTTTAGGGGTGTAGGGTTTAGGGTTTGGGGTCTAGGTTTATGGTTTAAGGTGTTAGGGGTTTAGGGTTTAGGGGTTTAAGGGTTTAGGGGCTTCGGGTTTAGGATTTGGGCTTTAGGGTTTAGGGGTTTGGGTTCAGGGATCAGGGTTTAGGGTTCAAGGCTTAGGGGCTCCCATACTCTAAGTTTTTCGGGGGGTTGTTATAATTTGGCCTCATATTTAAAACAGCACAGGGTTTTGGGCCTTGGTCATGTTCTAATATAATTCGCCTGTAACAGATTTTAGAGGACCTGTATTGGCAACTATTTCAGACCTATCAAGGTATTACACCTTCCCAACCTCCTCACTCTAAGGGTCCGAAGGACCTAATTATCAGCTTCTTTGGATAACAGTTTTGAGGGGTAGTATCTGGGAGAACAGATGTTCTTTTTTAGTTACTTGGATCCGTAATTAGGGCCTTATATAGGGTCAGAATCCGGGGTTCACAAGTCCTAAACCATGAACCCTAAGCCCCTAAGCCCTGAGCCCTAAACCCTGAACCCTAGACCTGGGCCATAAACCCTAAACCCTAAACGTTCACAAGTCCTCCTCCATGAGAGCTGTCAGGCCCGCTTCTGACAGGGTGCCCTGCCAGGAGAGGTCACGAGAAAGGAGAGCTACCACTCTAAGGGCTTTAGGGGGGACCCTTACTAGGGACCCTTGTAGGTTAGGGTTTAGGGTTTAGGGTTTAGGGTTTAGGGTTTAGGGTTTAGGGTTTAGGAGGGACCCTTGTAGGTTATTGGGGTTAATGTGGAGACTACCTGGCTGTATAAGGGGTATATAAGGACTATACCATGGTTATTTAAGGTAATGGGATTGAGGGTCCCTATTAGGGGTCCCTCCTAAAGTCCTTAGATTAGAACCACAGTCAAGACGGTTAGGGGTCAGGGTGTAGGGCTTCGGAGCATTGTGTTGCATGCATGTTCTGGTAGAAATAACCCCTAAACCCTAAACCCCCAAACCCTAAACCCTAAACCCCTAAACCCTAAAACCCGAAACCCTTAAACCCTAAACCCCAAACCCTAAACCCTAGAACTGAAAGGGAACTTTAAGGGGATACCAAGCAGTTTATTCAAACCTCCACGTGAAACTCCAGGATCCTTGTAGGGGTTGGGGCTTAGGGTTTGGGGCTTGGGGTTTAGGGTTTAGGGTTTAGGGTCTAGGGGCGGCTGAGGGTTTAGGGGTTACGGTTCAGAGTTGAGGCTGGAGGGTTTAGGGTTACGTATGGCGATGCCGGGATAAGGGAACCAACTTATTCGGCTTGGCTTGAGCCTCAAACTCGACTATAGGGGCCTGAATACCGAGAAGAGGGTTTTATGAGGGAGAGAGAGAGAGAGAGAGGGACTAGATGGGGATATCCTCACTCATTACTGCCCCCTTATATTAACCCGAAAGCTCCACGAGAAAGATTGGCACTCTGGGAAACCAAGGAAGCGGGGTTTAGTCTGTAGGATTTTTAGGGCCGTGAGGATCGAGGTTCCCCAGTAGCCCCTAAATCATAAGGGTACCCTTTTCCTGCTTGTTGGCTTAATTAAGGGAATCCCAAAAAACAAAAAGGGCAGAAGGGCGCTAGTGGGGAACCTAGGGATTCTGGGTTTAGGATTTCAAGGCATAAGAGGTGCAAAGAGGTGTTTGGGGCTTGGGGTGTAGGCTTCAAGGCTTCCAGGCTTCCGGGTTTAGGGGGTTTAGGGGTTTAGGGGGTTTAGGGGGTTTAGGGGGTTTAGGGGGTTTAGGGGGTTTAGGCTTCCGGTTTAGGGTTTGGAGTGGCCGGAAGGGCGCAGGGCTTTGGGCAAAATACAAAACCTCCGTCCACTGCCGAGCAAAACCCTGAAACCTTAATTCCTTGGCCGGGGTTCCTTACTAAAGTTCAAAACTTCCCTACTACAGGTAGCGGTTAAGAAGTCTTCCTCAAGTGAAGCCTAAACCTTAAACCCTAAAGGGTTCCTTACGAAAGTTCCCACTTAAGTTGAACCAGTACTATACGGGACAAATCTGGGCCCCAAAACCTCAACGCAGCCTTGGCCCACACACGATCCGTTTGTCGGCTTACGGCCTCTTCCAGCATCACCTTCTGCAGGGCAAGGGTTCATGGTTGAGGGTTGAGGGTTTAGGGTTTAGGGTTTGGGGTTTCGGGAGGCTAAAATCTGCCTGTGTATGCTTGTACCCGTGGGTGTGTATATATGTAATATATACTGTCTGTCTAAGACCTATATGTATATATATATACACACATCTATAAACAAATGCATAAATAAACATATATATATATATATACACATACATGCATGCATGCATACATACATACATACATACATACATACATACATACATACATACATGCATACATGCATACTTACTTGCATATGCATATAACTAACTAACTAACTAACTAACTAACTAACTAACTAACTAACTAACTGACTGACTGACTGACTGACTGACTGACTGACTGACTGACTGACTCACTGACTCACTGACTAACTGACTAACTGACTAACTAACTAGCTAACTAGACAACTATAACTAAATAAATAAAAATGAATAACTATAAAAAAGGTGTGTATATATATATATATTATATATATATATATGTGCATGTAAGCGCATGTGTAGACACACGCACACACGGACAACCACCGAACACGGGAGTGCGGCGCTTCTGCAATGCCTCAATCCTCAACATCACAAGCCGTGAATCAACAAAACCTTCTAACTGCACACAGAACAGCGCCAGCACGTGGTGGCCCTCTCGCTGAAGTAAGGCTACTGTTTAGATGGTCGCTCGGATGGTGAAGCTGCCACCACGCTGCTAGTCGCATCTCTGCTTCTGTGGAGAGTAGTTCCCTAAACCCCAAACCCTAAACTCTAAACCGCAAAATCGTATGCCTCTTCTTAGTGCACGGGCTCAGGATTTGGGGTTTAGGGCTCAAGGCCTCAGGAGTAAAGGGTTTAGGGTTTAGGGCAGGGATATCCAGATCACCGTTTCTTAGCGTGGAGAGGGTGGAAGACTGTGACGCCATAACTTCAGTTCCGAGCAACTTCTGGCCCTCCAGCCTGAATCCTAAACCCTGCTAGGCCCTTATACCCGGAAACTTGTAACCGACCCCAGCCCCTGAACCAGCACATATCCTCAACGGCGCACCCTGGGCGCCGAACACCAGACGTTGGGACGTTGGGAGACACTGAAAACCCGCAGGGTTTAGGGTTTAGGGTTAGGGATGAGGGTTGCGGGGTTTAGGGTTTAGGGTTTGGGGTTTGGGGTCTAGGGTTTAGGGTTTAGTTAACTGCAAGCTGAGTGCTTCCTTCAGCTTTAGGGTTCAAAGTTTATTGTCCCTTCAGGGCTTCGGGTTTGGGGTTTAGGGTTTAGGGTTCAGGGTTTGGATGTAGGGTTTTAGGGTTTTGGGTTTAGGGTTTTTGGTTCAGGGTCTAGGGTTTAGGGATTGACTGGGTTGTAGTTTTGGGACCCTTGAAAGGTATTTATGAAGAGGTACCCATATAGTAACCATATAGGGAAATCAACAAGTTTCCCAAAGTGCCAGCTGGTTGAACCTGTAGCTTTTTTTTGAGGGTTTGTGGTTTGAGCTTTGTGTTTAGGGTTTCGGGTGTCCGGCTTCGCGTATCGGGTCTAGGTGTTTGGGGCCCCAAACCCTAAACCCTAAACCCTAAACTCCGAATCTGCCCCGAAACCCCGCAGCTGTGGATCATTTCTTCGGTCCACTACACGTGTTCATTGGTTTCGCACGCGGCACACAAGGGACCGGCCCCTGCAAGCGGGATTAGGGTTTAGGGTGCAGGACTGAAGTCGTGTGAGGGTACATGGTGGCAACTTGTCGTTGGAAGTTTATGGTTATCACATATGTATCAACATGTAAGGATATGAGTATGCACTTCTTATTCATGCATTTACTTAGCTGCTCATTCGCACATAAAGATAGCTGGAAACAACCGTTCTGTACCGGGTACTTTGGGAAACTGAGACTGATGTCTGTACACATTTGGCTCGTGGTGACCCAGAGATTCTTGCAGCTGGTGGCCCGCCTGTACAGACTGCGATGAGGGCCATCAGAGTTTAGGGTTTAGGGTTTAGGGTTTAGGAGCAAAAAGCAGCAGAAAAAGCCAGCACTGCGCGAACATCGGTTCGGTTGCGGCAGCGTGCTGGTGACTGCTGGGGAGTCACTCGCGAGCCAGCAATACGAAACATACAGAGCAGACGCTCCGGTAATGCCTGGGCCTGAGTAATCAGAATAAGTTAATTGGGGTATATCGTGACATGGTTTGCAGCATCTACCCGGGATACTGCAAGTTACCATATTCAGACCTCTATATAGAGCATGCAACCCTATCTACAGGTGTCCAAACTGGAAGCATGCAAGTTTGCAGCTTGCAGCACGGCGGACACGGTGGCAGAGAATAGTCTCAGGACAGCCACCCCTCATTTCGCGGACGCAGGCAGCAAGAAGGCGCGTTGTTGGAGCTTTCCTGCCCTGCTCCGCAACAATCTCAGGAACAAATTAAACATGAGGGTAAGTCGATCAGCACCAGACTGCCAGGAGGGCGAAAGCTCCAAGTCCAAGCAGGGTGCAAATCATCTGCAAGCCGCACCAAACCCCCTTCAGCCAGGGCTTCATCACCCCTGGCGCCGTTTCTGTGAGTCCGATATAAAGGAATGTTCCTGCAGCCAGGGCCTGCAGCACAGCTCCCACATTGCTTCCTTCGACGCTCTCACCGATGAGAACGCCGATGGGGGTGACTGCAGAAAAGCAGAACATAGCCTGAGTTCTTGTCACATGGGAGTTTCCGAAAACAAGGGGTACCTTATTTTGGGGTCCTTTAATTGGGATCCTACTTTTTCGGGTACTATATCAGGGTCCCCTATTTTCAGAAACCCCCACATTCTTGTCAAGGAACTCAATCTACTACGTTAGCATAAAAGGAAGCCCTCTGATTGTCCAGAAAACCCCCCCATTATTATGGTAGCCCCTAAACCCTAATCTGCAGACCCGGTTATGGTCACTTTAATCCTCAACCCTTAACCCTAAACTTGAAACCCCTAAAACCCTAAACCCCTAAACCCTAAACCCCCAAACCCCCAAACCCTAAGCCCTAAACCCTAAACCCCAAACAGTCTTAACAAGGGCCCAGTAGCCACAAGGAAGATCCGCCAGTCGGGGAGTGACCGTAACCAAGCGACTCCCAGCGCAAAGGCCGTGATGCCCTTGTGGAAGAGGATCGCTAGGAAGAGCCCCCATGCAGCCTTCAGGGGGTTTAGGGTTTAGGGTTTAGGGTCAGGGGGTTTAGGGTTTAGGGTTTAGGGATTCAGGCGGTTTAGGGTTTAGGGTCATCTTAATATTCTCGTACTGACGGCCCCCATTCTAAACCATAAAAGCACCCCCTTTAAAGGGCAGCCTATTCTAGAACCCTATAGTGCCCTTACAGTAAGCCCTAAAGCGTAATATAGGGGCCTTAATAATTAGAATATGGTTTTGGGTGCCATTATACTGTTATCAAAATAAGGAGCCCCCCCAAAATAGTATAGGCAATTCTTTAGGCCCCTAAACAAACCCTAAACCCAAAGCCCTACACCCTAAACCCTAAACCCTTTTAAGGGCTCCTCTAAAGGAGGCCAAAAACCCTATTCTAATCATTAAGGCCCCTAATATGGAACCCTATCATAGATCCCTTATAGAACCGTTTAAGGATCCCTTTAAAGGAACCCTATTCTATTTAGGCCCCCTACATGCCAAAACCCTAGGAAGAGGTCCCATGCAGCCTTGGCCCCGGCAGCTCCCAGACTCAGGCCTGACCCAAGAACTGTAAGGTCAGGGAAGGGCAGCGGGTAGGGTTTAGGGTTTAGGGTTTAGGGTTTAGGGTCTAGGGTCTAGGGTCTAGGGTCTAGGGTCTAGGGTTAGGGTTTTAGGGTCTAGGGTTCAGGGTTTAGGGTCAGGGAATGACAGTGGGTAGCTACTTGAAACGATCTTGGGTCTTACTAACTTGGGTTATATGTACACAATTATATATATATATATATATATGGGCATATATATGTACACACACTCATATATATATATATATATATGGTAACCATACTTAAGATTCATACATACTTAGACATACCTATAACCCCGTTTGATTAAGGTACATTACTTACTACGTTCCATGATTCTGCAAGTAAGGCCTTCTAACAAGGAGTGAATGGAGAGGGCCGCCATCAGAACAGGTCCCACCGCCACTCGTGATGACTCCTGCTCCTTCAATAGGGTTTAGGGTTTAGGGACTCCTGCTCCTTCAGTAGGTTTTGGGGCTTTGGGCTTTGGGGCTGTGGACTTGAAGGTTCACCCCAAACCCTAAACCCTAAACCGGGGCTTCCGGAGCTCTCGGGTTTAGGGAGTGCTCTCCACTTGACTCCCAAGCACACCCAAAAAAACTCTGAGGTTCTTTATAGGGTTTAGGGTTTAGGGTTATAGTCTTGCCCTAAACCCGAACCCTGATCAAGCCCGAAACTCCTCAAACCCTAAACCATAAAAAGGGCTTCTAGACTGAGTCCGGTCTCCTTCGCTTGTGGGCTGCTCGGCGCAGTGCTGACAGATATCCCTTCTATGACGACGCCCTCAATCGGCCTCTCTTCACAGGCGCAATCCCCATCGCCCTGGCCCTGAAACTTCTCCCACAGAGGTTCCTCGGTTAAAAGCGGCAGCGGCAACGGCAACGGCGGCGACAGCGACAGGCGACGGCAGCGGCAACAGCGAAGGTGGCAGCAGGACGACCAGCACCACCCCACCACCACGACGACCACCACCAACAACAACAACAACAACAACAACAACAACAACAACAACAGCAGCAGCATTCAGCAGCAGCAACAACAAACAACAACAAGAAGGTTGGGGGCACGTTGTCGCCGCGAGAGGTGTGTCGTTTCTGTTGATTAGTTTTAGCCAAAGAGAGCTGCAGACCTCGGGTTTTGTGTGGTATTCGTGAATGAGACAAGTTTTTTGCTGTTGGCATGTTCCTGTTTTCTTGTTTCTGAAGTTCGGAGCTGTTTTTTGTTTGCGGATTTGTTGCAAACACTGT